AACAGGACTATCTATCCAATGCTTGTACTCCCATTGTATCTTGGAAGTAACTAACTTGTTTTTTATTTTACAGGCTCGTTGGTGGAAAGGACTTGCCTTGTCTCAGATGAGACTTCAGACTTTGGAGTTTTGAGTTAATGCTGGAAACAGTTAAGACTTTGGGGGACTGTTAGAAAGGCATGATTGTATTTTGAAATGTGAGACAGCCATGAGATTTGAGAGGCCAGGGACAGAATGATATCATTTGGATGTGTGTCACAACCCAAATCTCATACTGAAATGTAATCCCCAATATTGGAAGTGGGGACTGGTGGGAGGGGACTGGATCATGGGAGCCGATTCTCATGAATGGTTTAGCACCATCCCCTTTGTTTCCATCTTCATGAAAGTGAGTTCTCATGAGCTCTGGACATTTAAACGTGTGTAGCATCTCCCTCCTCACTCTCTTGCTCCTGCTTTCACCATGTGATGTGCCTGCTCCCATTTTGCCTTCTGAAATGACTGGAAGCTTCCTGAGGCCTGCCCCAAGGCAGATGTCATTATGCTTCCTGTACAGCCTGCAGAACTGTGAGCCAATTAAACCTCTTTTCTTGTAAATTAGCCAGACTCAGGGTTTTCCTTACAGAAATACAAGAATGGGCTGGGCGCGGTGGCTAAAGCCTGTAATCCCAGCACTTTGGGAGGCTGAGGCGGGTGGATCACGAGGTCAAGAGATCAAGACCGTCCTGGTCAACATGGTGAAACCCCGTCTCTACTAAAAATACAAAAAATCAGCTGGGCATGGTGGCACATGCCTGTAATCCCAGCTACTCAGGAGGCTGAGGCAGGAGAATTGCCTGAACCCAGGAGGCAGAGGTTGCGGTGAGCCGAGATCGTGCCATTGCACTCCAGCCTGAGTAACAAGAGTGAAACTCCGTCTCAAAAAAAAAAAAAAAAAAAAGAATGGACTAACACAAATATACGCCCAGTAGTGGGATGGCTGGATCATATAATTATATTTTTAATTTGAGAAACCTCTGGATATTTTCTATAATGTCTGTACTAATTTACATTCCCACAAATAGTGAATAAGTGTTCCCTTATCTCCATATTCTCACCAACCTGTGTTGTATTTTCTCTCTTTGATTACAGCCATTCTAACACTGTGAGGTGGTATCTCATATGGTTTTAATTTGCATTTTTCTGATGATTAGTGATGTTGAGCATTTTTTTATATGGACACCTTTTTTTTTTTTTAGACAGAGTTTCATTCGGTCCCCAAGGCTGGAGTGCCGTGGCACGATCTTGGCTCACTAAAATCTCTGCCTCCCAGGTTCAAGCGATTCTCCTGCCTCAACCTCCTGAGTAGCTGGGATTACAGGTCCACACCACCATGCCTAGCTAAATTTTGTATTTTTTTAGTAGATAATTGGGTCTCATCATGTTCGTCAGGCTGGTCTCAAACTCCTGACCTTGTGATCCGCCCACCTCAGCCTCCCAAAGTGCTGGGATTACAGGCATGAGCCACCTCGCCCAGCCTTATATGGGCACATTTTTAAGGGACTTGGTTTGTGGGTGGGGGAAGGGGGTGGGGGGCTGGGAGGTGTGGTTCTTTGCAACAATGTAAACATCCAGTCCCTCATCAAACTTTCTATTTTTTTCACTTACTGATTTATATCAGTTTGGAATTATGATTCTGTTATTTAATGGGTTTTAATCTATAACTAGCACTATTTATTTTGATGCTCAAACCATGTCATGTTTGGTCAGTGGAAGTCCCTTCAATCGGGTTTCCATGTCCTTTGAACACGTCCCTACCATTCTTTGAGCACTTCCTTACTTTTCAAGCACAGGTTGTTCTAAGTTCATTCTGATCCTTCCCTTCCCGAGCCCTGGAATCTGCCATTTCTCCATGGAGTCTTGCTCCTTTCAATGAAGCATGGTATTAAGGAACCAAGGGCTGACTGCCTAATGTGCTTGCCTAAGTATAATGTCCTCAGTCCAAGCTTTTCCAATTGATCTGCCAAAGACTCATTGCCAGAATAGAAGAGTGGAAGGAAATTCTTAATATTTTTTAAAAGTTACTATTATTTGCATTTTTCTCTTTGTAAAAAATTCATTTAAATCAATATAAAAAAGCAAAATTCTTTGGCACATAAATTGCAACTCTCCGATCCAAATCTTTAAAGTTGATACTCTAAGAATATATAACATATGCTCTTTATTCCACAGACATATAGGCCTATGGTTGCACACTTTTATACACACAGTCACAATTCCACTAGCACCAGTGACGTTCCACATCCAGATTTTCCAAGTCACACGTTACATCTTCACACAGCCTTGCTTGCGCCCAGTCACACGGCATAGTACCACATTGTTACATCAAGCACAGCCACGATCCACCACACAGCCTGTCATCCCATTGACCAAAGTCACAAAATTCACACCCCCAGGTATTTTCTGTGGTTTTCTCCAGTCAGATGCCTTTACTCACTACACACCGACTCACACTCAAATTACACACACGCGGAAACACAACCCGCCACAGCCAGAGAGGCTCGGTCGGTCCCGCAACCCTCACAGTACCACATACACGCGCTCACAAGGTCAAGCACAAATGGCCAGGCAACAATTCATTATAGTACACATACTGAGCGCCTACGATGTACTACGCCGGGACTACCTCAACGGGTGAATCAGACAAAATCCTGCCTGGCGGAGGTATCGCCCAGTCCTGCACGCACTCGGCCTCAGGGTCGCAAGGATGCACTCGGCGGTCCCACCCTCAAGTGGCCCGGGGAGGCCCAGAGGCGTCTGTTCTCCTCCTCACCTTCCCGCGTGGGTTCCCGTGACTTAGGTCGAAGCCATCGGATGCGCGCGCGTCCGCGCCTGCGCACAAAAGACCCCGTGGACTGCATTTCCCAGAAGCCCCTTGGGCAGTGTTGCCTGGATCCCGGGGGCCATTTCCGTTGCTTTCCTAATGGTTCAGCCGCCTGGGTGCGTTCTTCACAGACAAGAAGTCGGAGCTGGGTGAGGAGGAACGGGACTCTTAGGAGTAGCACTGGGGATGAAACTGCCGCCGAAAATGAGGCGCTCTAGGGCCCAGACCTGGCGTGCCGTGCCCGGAGGGAGCCTCAGGCCTGTGCGAGCGTGGGGAGCGGAGAAGGGGGATTGTGACACAGTGTGGCAGACGGTGTCTGTATGTGTGCCGCGCGCGCGACGAGGTGCCTGTCAGGACCGGGTTGGGCGGGTGTGGGTGCTGATGTGAGGCTGAGACAGGTGCGTGGCTTTCTGGTGTGTGTCACTGACCCTCTGCCCCCCTCACGGCCCCAGGTGTCTGCACAGCGCAGTGTCCCCAAGGGGGAAGTCACATACTGAGCTCTGAGATGAAGGTTCTCAGCAAGAAGGTACAGACGTGGGTTGGCAATTGGACTTTTGAGTTAGAAGTGTCCCTGAAACAGATTCCTGGGACGACAGGATGGAGGGGTGCCCATTGGAGGCGCCGTGTGGACAGCTGCGTTTTGGTTTTTTTTTGTTTGTTTGTTTGTTTGTTTTTGGGTTTTTTTTTTTTTTTTCCCCCAACGAGTTTTTATAAGTAGTTAAGTCATGATTTAGGATCCCGGGGCTGGGATCACTGGGTACTAGGTCTCCCTTTACCACCCTGGGAGAAGGACAGAGGATGCAGGAGAGGGTGGTGCAGCCAGTTCAGATCTTCCCGGGAAAAGTGCCATCAGCCCGCTGCTCGTCCCAGTCTGTGACCCAGGCTATGGGGCAGAGGGACTTGTATACACGCCGTTACCATTGGCACACAGACACATCACCTCCTTTAGCATTCAGTGCCTTCTCACAGTGGTGGAAGTCCAGGTAGTTCTGCCAGCAGTTCCTGGCCTGGTTCTGGTTGGGAAAGCGGCTGTCAAAAGGGACAGTCTTGTAATTCTCGAGTTTGGACTTCATCTCTTCCGCCGTGGTGCTGAATCCTAAAGGCAGCCCCGATGCACCTCGCAACTCAGTGTCACAGCTGCGTTTTTCAGAACCGCCCCGTTCGTGTACCTCAGATCTAGAAATCTGCTGTGAGTTCAGAGACATTCCAGCTTCACTCTCACACAGCTGTTAGGTGCGTCAGATCGCACAGATGTGGCGCTAGAAGGGGATGTTCTGGGTCGGTCTGTGCTCTAAGAAAGGGCTGCTGTCTCATGATTTTTTTTCTTCCCCCATCCTGCTATTCACCAAAAGAAGGATCCTGAAAAGAAGGAAACAATTGTTGTAGCAAGTCTAAAATTTGAGATCCAGGTAAGTTTATGTTTCCTCTTTGTTCTTAAAATGCAAATCACACATTTCAAATCACGCATTCTCATCTTCACACAGCCTTGCCTGCACCCGGTCACACGGCATGGTACCACACTATGTCAAACACAACCACAATCTACCCCAGAGCCTGTGACTATGAGCCTGTCTCCTCATTGCTCATAGTCACAAAGATCACATCCCTTGGTACTTTCTGTGGCTTTCATTTGCATTTGTCCCTTTGAAAAAATTCACTGATTCAATATAAAAAAGACACGTAAATTGCAACTCTCTGGTCCAAATCTTTAAATAAATATTTAAATAAATACATAAGATGTTTTTGTTTTTAGGACATGGAAACATTGCTTTACTTTTCCTTTTTTCTTTTGAGACGGAGTCTTGCTCTGTCACCCAGGCTGGAGTGCAGTGATGCGATCTCGACTCACTGCCAGCCTCCACCTACTGGATTCAAGCAATTCCCTTGCCTCAGCCTCCTGAGTAGCTGGGACTACAGGCATGTGCCACCACACCCAGCTAATTTTTTGTGTGTTTTTAGTAGAGACAAGGTTTCACCATGTTGGCTAGGATAGTCTCTATCTCGACCTTGTGATCCGCGGGCTTTGGCCTCCCAGTGCTGGGATTACAGGCATGAGCCACCGCGCCCAGCCTGCTTTGCTTTTCCTGAATTGTCCAGTGACCTATCACAGGCCTTCCTTTCCAGTGAACAATGGACCATGCAGGTAGATCCTCCACGGGCCTCTAAATGAAATTCTCGTTTTTCAAATCATTCCTCTATACTCACTTTCCGTAATAGTAGATAAATGCATATCTTGGAGTCTAAAGTTTAAACTTTGTTTTATTGAGATTAATGTTTAGGTAGGATCATATCATTCATCTTCTCCAATCTTCTCCAAAGACCTCAGTTTTAAAGTATGACAGGAATAGAGATGACCTGACTCGTATCAGTAAGCAAGTGATAATGGTCATCTGCTTTTAAGGCTTTTAGGAGTGGGAACACATTCCCACTCCTAAAATTGGAAGTCCAAGCATAGAAATCTGTGTGAACATAAACAGGGATTTTTTCCAAGAAATCCATGAGTTGAGATTTATGTTTATACAGAGTTAGTTGTAAGAATAAAAAAGTACATATGGGGAAAAAAAAAGTACGCATGAGAAAGTAATAGTCATAGCGATGAAGAATAATATGCAACTTTTTTTTTTCCCCAAGACAGAGTCTTGCTTTGTCGCCCAGACTGGAGTGCAATGGGGTGAACTCGGCTCACTGCAGCCTCTGCCTCCTGGGTTCAAGCAATTCTCCTGCCTCAACCTCCCGAGTAGCTGGGACTACAGGCGTGCGCTATCATGCCCAGCTAATTTTTGTATTTTTAGTAGAGACGGGGTTTCACCATGTTGACCAGGATGGTCTCGATCTCTTGACCTTGTGATCCACCCGCCTCAGCCTCCCAAAGTGCTGGGATTATAGGCATGAGCCACCGCGCCGGGCCCCAGAGAAGAATCTTAATAGTGAAAAGGTCTTGTTGAATTGAAGAAGAATGTTCAAGAACTGGTAGGCATTTATTTATAATGGTCACACTGTTTTCTTACTGTTTCCATACATGTCAAGCCAATTTGCTTCTGACATGTTATTTTATTTTATTTATTTATTTATTTATTTATTTATTTATTTATTTATTTTTGAGATGGAGTTTCGCTCTTGTTACCCAGGCTGGAGTGCAATGGTGCGATCTCGGCTCACCGCAACCTCCGCCTCCTGGGTTCAGGCAAGTCTCCTGCCTCAGCCTCCTGAGTAGCTGGGATTACAGGCATGTGCCACCATGCTCAGCTAATTTTTTGTGTTTTTAGTAGAGACGGGGTTTCACCATGTTGACCAGGATAGTCTCAATCTCTTGACCTCGTGATCCACCCGCCTCAGCCTCCCAAAGTGCTGGGATTACAGGCTTGAGCCACCGCGCCCGGCTGGAATTATTTTCTTAAGAGATTTCTACACTTTTTTTTTTGAGGGAGAGGACTCAACTTGTGGAGGAAAAACTTTAATTGCTGTTGTGCAAACTATCTGTTTGAAGTAGAAATTAGTTTCAGTAATATCAGTGGCTTTTTCATTCTGTTGATTCTGTCTTTTCAGGCACAGACGTTTTTAATTTGGATGTAGCCCAATCGGTTTATTTTTTCTTTTGTTATTTGTACTTTTGGTGTCACATCCAAGAAATTATTGCCAAATCCAGCATCACGAAACTTATTCCTGTGTTTTTATAGTTTGGGCACTTACAGTTAGATCCTTGTTTGTTTGTTTTTATACAGTCTTGCTTCAGTCCGGGCTAAAGTGCAGTGGCGTGATCATGGCTCACCGGAACCTTGAACTCCTGGGCTCACGTGATCTTCCTGTCTCAGTCCCCATGCCTGGCCGATGTCTGCATTATTATTATTATTTTTTTTTTTTTTGAGACGGAGTTTCGCTCTTGTTACCCAGGCTGGAGTGCAATGGCGTGATCTCGGCTCACCGCAACCTTCGCCTCCTGGATTCAGGCAATTCTCCTGCCTCAGCTTCCTGAGTAGCTGGGATTACAGGCACGTGCCACCATGCCCAGCTAATTTTTTGTATTTTTAGTAGAGATGGGGTTTCACCTTATTGACCAGGATGGTCTCCATCTCCTGACCTCGTGATCCACCCGCCTCTGCCTCCCAAAGTGTTGGGATTACAGGCGTGAGCCACCACGCCCAGCAGCATTTTATTTTATAATTGGATATAGATTTATCGTATACTTCTGATTATAGAATTAATGCTCACTTTTTATAAATTATTCAGTTACTCAGTTATATTACATAAGGGACTTATAAAGAAGAAAGTTAAAATAGCTCCAGCATCACTATTATTACTTTGGGAAACTATATATATATATATTTTTTTTTTTTTTGAGACGGAGTTTCGCTCTTGTTGCCCAGGCTGGAGTGCAATGGCGCGATCTCGGCTCACCGCAACCTCCGCCTCCTGGGTTCAGGCAATTCTCCTGCCTCAGCCTCCTGAGTAGCTGGGATTACAGGCACGCGCCACCATGCCCAGCTAATTTTTAGTATTTTTAGTAGAGACGGGGTTTCACCATGTTGACCAGGATGGTCTCGATCTCTTGACCTCGTGATCCACCCACCTCGGCCTCCCAAAGTGCTGGGATTACAGGCTTGAGCCACCGCGCCCGGCCTGGGAAACTATATTTTAGCAAGAGTTTTCAGTACACTTTTGTGTGTGTATGTGTCGTGTGTGTGCGTGCACATGCACACACACGCACATGCGTTTTTTCTTCCTGCAGAATAGAAATTGCACTAACTGATCTTTCAAAGGACACAAAGACTCTCCAGTTCCTAATTAGAAAAGTGATTCTCCGTAACCGTAACTTTTTTTTTTTTTTTGAGGTGAAGTTTTGCTCTTTCACCCAGACTGGAGTGCAGTGGTGCGATCTTGGCTCGCTGCAGCCCCCACCTTCTGGTTCAAGCGATTCTCCTGCCTCAGCCTCCTGAGTTGCTGGGATTATAGGCACATGCTACCACTCCTGGCTGATTTTTTGTATTTTTAGTAAAGATAGGGTTTCACCGTGTTGGCCAGGCTGGTCTTGAATTCCTGACCTTGTGGTCCACCTGCCTCAGCCTCCTAAAGTGCTGGGTTTACGAGCATAAGCCACCTCGCCTGGTCAGCTTTCTTATATCTCTGTGCAGTAGGGAGAAGCAGAAAACACCAATTAACCCTGCTAAGTTTGATTAACCTTTGAGATATTTACAACTTTTAGGGTTATATAAACCAATTAAAGATAATTAATATTATACAATTTATCAAATAAGACAGTTCTTCAGGATTATACTTTCTTTTAGAAGGTTGCTTTTACAGGACATAGCAATACTCTTTTATCTTGGCCAGGTTTTGTTCAGTATTCCATTATGTGAATAACATTTTATAGGACGGATTTATAACAGTAGAAAATGGAATAAGATAGTAACAGCTATAAATATTCATGTAAATATTTACATATAGAAGAGGAGAACAAGATTGAACCTCATATTAAAGTTATCTATGTAATGCCTTATTACAGCAGTCCCCAACATTTTTGGCACCAGAGACTGGTTTTATGGAGGACAGTTTTTTCACAGATAGGGAGAAGGAGATGGTTTCAGGATGATTCAACCACATTACATTTATTGTGCACCTTACTCTTATTATTACATTGTAACATGTAATTAAATCATTCTACAACTCACCATAATATGGAATCAGTGGGAGCCCTAAGCTTGTTTTCCTGCAACTGTATGGTCCAGTCTGGGGGTGATGGGAGACAATGACAGATCATCAGGCATTAGATTCTCATAAGGAGCATGCAACCTAGATCCCTCACATGTTCAGTTCATAATGCTGCAGCTGATCTGACAGGAGGCAGAGATCAAGTGGTTAATGTAAGCAATGGGGAGTAGCTCTAAATACAGATGAAGCTTCCCTTGCTGGCCTGCTGCTCACCTTCTGCTGTGTGGCCCAGTTCCTAACAGGCTGGGGTCCAGTATCAGTCGTGACCAGGGGGTTGGAGACCCCTACCTTAATTAGGTCCTTTTAGCTAGTTTTATGTTGAAGAATGATGTTTCCTCTTTGATAGTTGCAAGAACGAGAGGAGATTGTTTTGTTTTGTTTTGTTTTCGAGACAGTCTCACTCTATTGCCCAGGCTGGAGTGCAGTGGTACAATCTCAGCTCACTGCATCCTCTGCCTCCCAGGTTCAAGCGATTCTCTTGCATCAGCCTCCCTAGTAGCAGGGATTACAGGTGCATGTCACCACCCCTGGCTAATTTTTGTGTTTTTAGTAGAGACGGGGGTTTCACCATGTTGGCCAGGCTGGTCTCAAACTTCTGACCTCAGGTGATCCACCCATCTCAGCCTCCTAAAGGCCTGGCATTACAGGCATGAGTCACCGCACCAAGCCGAGAGATTTATTATTTTTCTGGGAGTCTGTTTTACTAATGTTGTTAATTTAAAATAATTGCATCTTCAAGGCTCAGCTCTAAAATACTTAAAATATCACTATTAAAAAATGGGCATGAGATTCAAACTTTACTTGAAATAAGTGAAATAATATAAAATCATTTTATTTAATAGCAATGGAATAAAGGACATAATGTCCCCTATTTTAATAATACTGGCTAACTTTTATTAAGTAATTATGTATTATTAAGTGGAATATAGGTATTATCTCAATCTTCATGACAACCCTATTAGATAGGTGCTCTTCTTATCCCTAATTTACCAACAAACTAACTGAAAAGTATGTAGCTGTCAGACTAAGATTCACATTCTGAAAATCTGACAACAGAGTCTGTGTTTTTAATAACAATATTATAACCCTCCCCATAATGGCATATGCTCCTTTAATTTGCCAGTATCAATCGGTAACTCATCATTGATGTCTTCCTCCGAAAATAAACAGGGACCAATATAATTAGTAAGGCCTTGGTGTGCCATCATAACAGACCATAGTTTATTTAACCTGTTGCCTACTATAGCTATTAGTATTTTTAATATTTGATTATTTTAAGTTGTTATATGATAAATATCTTATGTATATGTCTTAATATGCTTTAGTAGCCACTTCCAAGAAAAAATCCCTAAAAATGGAATTTTAGTCAAATATCAGACATAAGGACTCATAGTATACTGAATCTTGTGTTAGTAATTAGAGGAGTACAGAACTGAAAACACATAGGTGCCACCCTACAGCAGAGAGTATAAAATCAGAATAGACTGAATAAGTATAAGGTAGAAGATAATAAAAAACAGTAAAGAAATTCAGGTTACAGGCCTTGGGAGTTCATAGGAAGGAGACGTCCAGTGTTTCCAATAGAACTTTCCATGTTGATGAATATGTTCTGTCTTCTCCAGTATGGTAGCTGTTTGCCACATGTGGCTAATGAGCACCTGAAATATGGCTAAGTTACCTGAGAAACTGACCTTTTTTTTTTTTTGGTGACAGTCTTGCTTTATCACCAAGGTTGGAATGCAGTGGCGAGATCTCAGCTCACTGCAGCCTCTGCCTCCCAGGTTCAAGCGATTCTGCCTCAGTTTCCTGAGTAGCTGGGACCACGGGCCCCTGCCACCATGTGCAGCAAATTTTTGCAGTTTTAGCAGCCTGTCGCCGAGGCTGGAGTGCAGCTCACTGAAACCTCTGCCTCCGAGGTTCAAGCAATTCTTCTGCCTTTGCCTCCTAAGTAGCTGGGATCACAGTCATGTACCATCATACCTGGCTAATTTTTTTGTATTTTTAGTAGAGACAGGGATTCACCATGTTATCCAGGCTGGTTTCAAACTCCTGAACTCAAGTGATCTGCCCGTCTCGGCCTCCCAAAGGGCTAGGATTACAGGTGTGAGCCACCGCTCCTGGCCTAACCTGCATACATCTTAATATACATTTACAGTCATTTGGTTTGCGTAGAGCCCCAGAAATAGGCTCTACTTCTGGGTTGGGTGGTAAAAGTCCCTCACATCCTTCTACATGCCATGTTTTAAGGTCCTACAAATCTGTAGCATTTACACAGTATCCATTTCCCTGTGATGTTGCTCATCTGGCATATCATTAGTCTTTTAAATCTGCCATTCCAATAACTGTCAACTGGTACTTCCTTGATTAGGATCTCCTTAATTGTATTGAAATTTGATAACTTCTGTGGATGATATGTTGCTATTTTTAGTGAATTACCCATGCTTAAGTTTCATTTGAAAAAATTCTGAGCTTCAGAGGAAAAGCTGGAGTTGAGAGAGCAAGACCCTGTCTCCAGAAAAGAGAGAGACAGAGAAAGAGAGAGAGAGAGAGAGAGAGACAGAGAGACAAAGAAAGAGAGAGAATTGGCTTTATATTTAGAGAAACATGGATTCAGACTACAGCTCTGCCTCTTTCTGTGAATTTGGGCAATGTACTTTACTTTGAGCCTTCATTACCTCATCTGTTGAAAGGAGATAAATGCATTGCATGGTTAAATGTTAATATGATAAAGGACCCATCATGCAGAAGATCCTAAAAAGAGCTATTTTTGTTGTTGTCACCTGGCAGCCGTGGGCATGAATTCACACCACTCCAGCCTTGATATTGAGTTATTGGGGTAGTCAGTGACTTCATGCAGGAAAGCAGTATAGCTGTTCCTGGTTGGGGAATCAGTTAGGAAATTGTTTGGAAACAGAATTCTGGGGGCTGTGGTTCTAGCTGGGAAGGGCTCCACAGGGCAAGTGTAGTTTTGCAGTGAGAAGGGCTGCCCAGTTTTCTGCCTTCCTGTCTGTGGAGTCCAGGCATATAACCAAGCCATGAATGATATTTGGATTTTGATGGGTGGCCCCTTCTCAGCCCTAAGGTGGGCATGGATGGAAGAGGATCTGCTCAAGGTAGGACCTAAAAATTCAGTTTCAGCTACTCATCAGCAGCATCAGAAGTTGAAGTAAGCCAGAGACCCTTCTGCTGGAGCTCCTGATCTGGGTTTGTGCAGGAGGCCTCTACCCTGTATCTACACATGCACAAGTGGTTTCTCATAGCGTAGGGAGGGTTTGGCTTTCTTCCCCTGTTTATATGTGCAGAATGGTGGGGTTGGAAGTAGAAATTATGCAAAAACAGGATCTTACTAACTTAAGTCATTTTAGGACTTCAGAGACACATCTGGCCTCAGATTAACTTGTTCTTCCCTTAGCCCCGGCTTCTCTGGATTCTGTGCTTCTCCATGGAGGAAGCCCAAGGAGAACTGACAAGTTCTTGTGGTGCTAAAACCATGGCCCATGTAAGTTTGTGTTTTTCTTCCTTGAAATATTGTGTTTTAAAATTCATTGATCATTGAAATCTCATTAACTTGAGACTTTCTTCTTAAGACAAACCCTGTTGTGGAATCTGCTCCCTAGTTACTCTGATCACAGTGAAGGATAGTGCCACATAATCTAGTGTCTTCCTCATTTGCTCCTATTTTCTCTTAGCAATGCTCACCTATTGCCCATTCATCTATGTGCCTAGTCTTCTCTCAGGAACATTGGTGGAACAGTGAAAGATGAAATATTTAAGGGAATATTTGAGTTTAAGGGAAATATTTGAGTTTCTGTCGAGCCATGGTTCGTTTCTTTCTTTCTTTCTTTCTTTCTTTCTTTCTTTCTTCTTTCTTTCTTACTTTTTTTGAAACAGAGCCTCACTCTGTTACCCAGGCTGGAGGGTAGTGGTGCCATCTCAGCTCACTACAACCTCTGCCTCCGGGTTCAAGTGATTCTCCTGCCTCAGTCTCCGGAGTAGCTGGGATTACAGGTGTCCACCACCACACCTGGCTAGTAGAGACAGGGTTTCACTATGTTGGCCAGGCTGGTCTCAAACTCCTGACCTCAGGTGATCCACCCTCCTCAGCCTCCCAAAATGCTGGGATTATAGGTGTGAGTCACCATGCCAGCCAGGAGTCATGGTTCTATGGCACACAGGTAGTGGTCCCATTAGACTACCCAGACCTGAATTTTGTGGGTTGATGGATGGGATTTAGTGTTCAGCGTTTTGTCTTCTGCAGTGACTCAAACATTGTCTTCCGTATCAGCCTCAGAGGCAGAGGTGAGGTCTCAGGCATTAAGAGGCTTAGAGGACTAGGTTGGAGTATAATTAGGGCCTGTATATTGCATTTTCAGGGATCTAGCCAGGGGAATCTCCAAGGATGAATAAGAAAACAAAAGTCAATTTTGTGGTTGTGGAGGCTGTACTGGTCTCCAGTGACATCAGTGTCATTGTGGATCCGTCAGCATCCTCTGGCTTAGGAACAAAGTAAGTGTTCCTGAAGTATGGCTGAGTGGCAGATAGGAAGATCCTCCAATCCCTATGATGGCTGGACATAGTCTCTGATCCCCAATGACGGTGAAAATAGGATTGGGAAAAACCTTAAACACTTTGGCCACCCCAAATAAATGCCTAAGAATAAAAGAATTAGTCTGCAGAATCCACAAAATGGATGATATTATTAGCCAGCCAATAAATATACTAACTGAAGACTTTGCTTTGAGGTTATTTTGCATCATGATGAACCTGAGTTCCAGCAAAATTACATAATGTCAGTCAACTCCTGTTTTCTAAGAGAGATTTTTAGAGTACTTTTTGGTAAAAGAATTCTTTTTTGAAAAATTTTTTGAAGGGAAGAGGGGATGTTGGAACTTGCATTTATTTAGAACTTAAAATGCAGCCACATAATGGGCAGTGTGCTTAATTTATGTTATTTCACTTAATTTGCATCAACAGTAGTCTTTAAAAGCATATAAACACTTTATTTCAGAAATATGAATTTCCTTATTCTTTTATCCATGTTGCAGGCTTGAGCCCCAGTGTATTTGCTTACTATGCTGCTTCTTACCTGCAAAGCAGTTTTCCATCTTGAAAATACATTTAAAAAATTTTTAATATGTCATTTCAGGTAACCTTGGCATTCAGGGATGTGTCCATAGACCTCTCCCAAGAGGAGTGGGAGTGCCTGGATCCTGCGCAGAGGGACTTGTACAAGGATGTGATGTTCGAGAACTACAGCAACCTGATCTCACTGGGTAAGGTATCTGCTGAAATAGTTTACAACCTGTTTTCTGGAGTATCCACTTTAACCACTTTCTCCACTGTCAAATTTTACAACTCTGTTTTAAGAGACCAACTGACTTCCCCTATTTCTAAAAACATAGTTTGAGGAGTCTTGGGGTGGAAATTGGCACCTGTGTTAAGCAACTTCATCTTTCCATCCCTCAGTGGCATTCACTCCTGCCTCTGACTCTTCCTGTTATTGCTTGCTTTTCCAAATGATTTCCAGGTTTGATTTGTGTGACATTTTCAGAGAGACCAGATTTCATATAACGCGTAAACTCAGAATTCCTATAGTTGCTCTGTGTTAATATCTGGCCCTCCTACAAGACAACAGCTAGTCTCAGAATTCTCTCTCTTTTTTTTTTTTTTTTAACTATCAAAAGAAGCTCCATGGATTATACAATGGTAGATTGAGTTAACAATAGTTATGTAAAATTTAAGCCAACATACCACATCCTAGAGGAGACATACTCCCCTTAACCTGCTGTGTGGTTGAAAGTTAAAGGCTGTGAATTTACATTTTCTGTTAAAGGAGTATCTGAGGAAGAACCTGGAAATGTTTTAGTAAACTTAGTATATTTCTCCTAGGAAAATAGTAACAACAAAATAATACTATATACTAGGCATGTTTTTATGCCTTTGCATATATTAATTCATTTAATTCTCACAACAGCCTATGAAGTCGGTAATATCAGCCCCATTTTGCGTTTGATCAAAGTGAACACACGCAGGGTAAGTAACTTTCAAGGTCACACAGCTGGTAGGTGGCAGAAGATTTGAACCCAGGCCATAGGGTCCAGAGGTTATGCTCACAACCCCTCTCTATACTGCCGTTAGCAGCAAAGCAGACCTTTTCCCTCTCTTTCCTTGTCTCTAGTCCTGTAATTGTGAGTCCTTGTTAACATGAATGTTCTTAGCCTGATGTCAAGTACCATTTTCACCTGCAGTTTACTACAAATGTAACCCAAGTATGAATTGTCAATTCAAGGTTATGGTTGTTTGGGGTTTGTTTTTATTTTTTTCTACAACGTGTCATTTCTTTTCTCATAAGCAGGATATACCATTCCTAAGCCAGATGTGATTGCTTTATTGGAGCAAGAGAAAGAGCCCTGGATAGTCATGAGGGAAGGGACAAGGAGTTGGTACACAGGTGAGCGACCGCAAATCAGGCAGGAGGGTGCTATCACAAGTTATGACCCATGAGGTCAGGGAGGAGGCACAACACTGAGCTGTTTGGACAGCACCCTTCAAAGGCCCGAGGGCTGTGGAGAAAGGACTGATACCTGGGAAGCATTCAGATTCTCTCAACATGAGCTACCAAAGGAACTTTAGCCAGTTTGCTAAACTTCTTGTTTCTCTTTTCTCATGTTTCTCTCCCTTTTCAAAGTGGGGCTGCTTTCTTTCTTACCCACTGATGATCATTTTACCTGTGTTTCAGGTCTCCTTTTACATTTAGATTTATATTCATTTCTCCATTGTCCAAATTTTATTCAACAAATATTTCCCATTTGCCTAACCTAAGCCAGGCACTGTCCTAGAGTCTAGGCACTATTGATAGATACTCCTGTTGTCATGGAGATATTGATATTCTAGTAAGGGAAACATATTGTGAATAAGTAAACAGATTATAATCAGGTTTTGATATGTGTTGTGAAGAAAGTGAAGTAGGGTAAGGAGATAAGTGTTAGGGAGTTAGTAGGACTAATTTAGAGATCAGGAAAGACCATTTTAAGGTGATGATCTTTGAACTAGAGACATAAAATAAGGTCTCGGCCATGTAAATGTTGAGGAAGAGCACTACAAGCAGAAAAAGCTGCAAATGCAAAGGTTCTAAGATAAAGCACCATCTGTGTTTATTCCCAAAACAGATATGCCAGCTGATGTGAACATTCTTGTACAATCGTTTTGTGTTCAGATGTTTTCATTTCTGTTAGTTTTCATTTTTCTTGGGAATTTATGGAAGTGGAATTTTGGGGTTATAGGACAAGTGTATTTTCTTAATCATATATATTGAGGTAGAATTTATATAATGCAAAATGCATTCATTTTAAGTGTCAATTTTTATAACATTTTAAAACAGTTTCATTGACCTATAATTGGCATACAATAAATTGCACACATTTAAAGCATAAAATTTGCTAAGTCGCCATGTATATTGTGAAACCATTACACAATCAAAATAATAAACATATCCATCACCTCGGAAAGAAATCTCTCCCTCTTGTCCTTTACCCACTGCCCAGGTAAGCACTGATCATCTGTCTGTCACTATAACTTAGTTTCCATTTTCTAGAATTTTGTATCATGGAATTATATGGTGATTTTTTTTTTCTTTTTAAAAAATATGGTGTTTTTTTTTCAATTTAGCTTCATTCACTCAGCAAAATTATTTTGAGATTCATCCATGTTGCTCTATGTATTAGTATTTCATTTCATTGTTGAGTAGTATTCCACTGTATGGATGTGCCACAGTTTACTTATCCATTTACCTATAGGGATGGACACTGAGTTATTTCCAGTGTTTGGCTATTAGAGATAAAACTACTGGAAACATTCATCTAAAATTCTTTGTACAGACAGATGCTTTCATTTGTCTTGGGTAAATATCTGGGTAGAATGGGTAGATCATATGAAAGATATATGTTTATTTTTTTAAGACACTGCCACACTGTTTTTGAAAGTGGTTATATCAGCCAAGAGCAGTGGCTCATGCCTGTAATCCCAGCACATTGGGAGGCTGAGGCAGGTAGATCACTTGAGGTCAGGAGTTCAAGACCAGCGTGGCCAACATGGTGAAACTTCATCTTTACTAAAAATACAAAAATTTGCCAGACATAGTGGCAGGTATCTGTAATCCCAGCTACTTGGGAGGCTGAGGCAGGAGAATCACTTGAACCCTGGATGCAGAAGTTGCAGTGAGCCAAGATTGTGCCACTGCATTCCAGCAGCCTGGGTGACAGAGCAAGACTCCATCTGGGAAAAAAAAAAAAAAAAAGAAAGAAAGAAAGACAGTGGTTGTATCCATTTACTTTCACAGCAGAAGTTTATGAAATACCAGTTACACATTCTTATCATCACAATAGGTGAGTAGTGGTATCACATTGTGGTTTTAATTTTCATTTTCCTAATGCCTAATAATCCCGAGCAACTTTTTATTCTTATTATCCATGTATCTTCTTTGCTGAAGTGTCTGTTAGTCTTCTGCCTGTTTTCTTTTTTCATTTTTTTTTTTTTTTTTTTGAGATGGAGTCTTGCTCTGTTGCCCAGGCTGGAGTGCAGTGGTGTAACCTCAGCTCACTGTAACCTTAGCCTCCTGAGTACAAGCGATTCTCTCGCCTTAGCCTCCTGAGTAGCTGGGACCACAGGCATGCGCCACCATGCCTAGCTAATTTTTGTATTTTTGACAGAGATGGGGTTTCACCACATTGGCCAGGCTAGTCTCAAACTCCTGACCTCAGATCCATCAGCCTCAGCCACCCAAAGTGCTGGGATTACAAGCATGAACCACTGCACCCAGCCTTCTACCTGTTTTCTAATTGAGTTGTTTGTTCACTAATTACTAGGTTTTGGTAGTCCCTTATGTATTCTGGATGTAAGTCCTTTATCAAATGTATGATTTGTAAATATCTTCTCCCATTATTGGCTTGTATTTTCATTCTCTTAACAGTGTCTTCTGAATAGCATAAGCTCTTAATTTGATTAAGTTCAATGTATCATGTTTTTCTCTTGTGGACTGTCCTTTTGGATCATATTTAAGAAATCTTTGCAAAATACTAAAAGTACAAAAGTTTTGTTTTCTTATAGAAATATTTTTTTTGAGATGGAGTCTCGCTGTGTCACCCAGGCTGGAGAGCAGTGGCGCAATCTCTCACTGCAACATCCGCCTGCTGGGTTCAAGTGATTCTTCTGCCTCAGCCTCCCGAGTAGCTGAAACTAAGGTGTGTACCACCATGCCCGGCTAATTTTTGTATTTTTAGTAGAGACGGGGTTTCACCATATTGGCCAGGCTGATCTCAAACTCCTAACCTCGTGATCCACCCACCTTGGCTTCCCAAAGTGCTGGGATTATAGGCATGAGCCACTATGCCCAGCCTTTCTAGAAATTTTAGTTTTAGATTTTTACATTTGTATATCTATTGTACACAAACTCTTCCAGAAACTTTAAGATGATCTTCAAGTCCAGCATTACCCTGATACAGAAACCAGACAAAGGCATTATCAGAAAAGGAATCTGTAAGTCAATTATTTTTTACAAACACAAATGCAAAAATTCTAGACAAAATTTCTAGCCTTTTGAATCTAACAATTTATGAAAAGAATAGCAGTTACTGGCCAATCTTGGCATTCCTTGGCTTGCAGATGTATCACTTTAGTCTCTGCTTTCATCATCTTCATGGAACCCTCTCTTTATCTCCCTATGCCTCGCTCTTTTTTTTTTTTTTTTTTTTTTTTTTTTTTTTTTTTTGGAGACGGAGTTTCGCTCTTGTTACCCAGGCTGGAGTGCAATGGCGTGATCTCGGCTCACCGCAACCTCCACCTCCTGGGTTCAGGCAATTCTCCTGCCTCAGCCTCCTGAGTAGCTGGGATTACAGGCACGTGCCACCATGCCCAGCTAATTTTTTTTTATGTTTTAGTAGAGACGGGGTTTCACCGTGTTGACCAGGATGGTCTTGATCTCTTCATGATCCACCCGCCTCGGCCTCCCAAAGTGCTGGGATTACAGGCTTGAGCCACTGCGCCCGGCCTGCCTCGCTCTTATAAGTACACCTGTTAGTGGATTTAGGGCCCACCCTTTTTCCAAGTTAGGTCCCATTCACAGGCACTCGGAGTTAGGAATATGGCTTTTCTGGGGGCAACAATTCAACTTACTACATCTGAGAATAAAGGCTTTTATTTTTCTTCTTTCTGAAGCTCGTGTTCTTCACCTTACCTTACTCTACTAGCCAGGACCTGCAGTGTACTTATTGACTAGCAATGAGTTTGAGCATCTGTGAATGAGCAATGATAAAACACAACTGATGTTCACCAAATAAAATATCTCAGTATTTGAGTTGGGATAGAGACAAAGAAAAGGAATAGTGGCCACAAACAGGGCAACTGTAAACAGTTTTGGAGATACCTAATGTTCAAGATAACAATAGATAATGGGAAAATGATGAAATACAAAAATAATGACTTTTTCTTTTTCTTTTTTTTTTTTTTTTTTTGAGACAGAGTTTCACTCTTGTTACCCAGGCTGGAGTGCAATGGCGCGATCTCGGCTCACCGCAACCTCCGCCTCCTGGGTTCAGGCAATTCTCCTGCCTCAGCCTCCTGAGTAGCTGGGATTACAGGCACGTGCCACCATGCCCAGCTAATTTTTTGTATTTTTAGTAGAGACGGGGTTTCACTATGTTGACCAGGATGGTCTCGATCTCTCGACCTCGTGATCCACCCGCCTCGGCCTCCCAAAGTGCTGGGATTACAGGCTTGAGCCACCGCGCCGGGCTACACCATTTATTTCTAATGTGTGTTATTTCTGTTCATCTTTTATTTCTACTATAAGGTACAACCCCCATCCCTGCCCTAACACAGAAAAATAGCATTATAGCATTTGTTTGCCTTTTTTTTTTTTTTTTTTTTTTTGTACAGATTTGGAGTACAAGTGTATCACCAAGAATTTACTTCCAGAAAAGAATGCTTGCAAAATATGTTTATCTCAATTGCAGACAGGGGAAAAAAGTAAAAATACCATCCATGAGGATGCCATGAGAAATGGTTTGCAGTACAAACATGAATTTGAGAGACAAGAGGGACATCAGATGGAATGCATTAGTCAAATGATAATACAAAAACAAATATCTCATCCTCTGTATCTGAAAATTCATGCTAGAGAGAAACCATATGAATGTAAGGAATGTAGGAAAGCCTTTAGACAACAGTCATACCTTATTCAACATCTCAGAATTCACACTGGTGAAAGACCCTATAAATGTATGGAATGTGGAAAGGCTTTTTGTCGAGTGGGAGACCTTAGAGTACATCAGACAATACATGCTGGGGAGAGACCCTATGAATGCAAAGAATGTGGGAAGGCCTTTAGACTTCATTACCACCTTACCGAACATCAGAGAATACATTCTGGTTTGAAACCCTATGAGTGTAAGGAATGTGGAAAGGCCTTTAGTCGGGTTAGAGATCTCAGAGTACATCAGACAATTCATGCTGGGGAGAGACCTTATGAATGTAAAGAATGTGGGAAGGCCTTTAGACTTCATTATCAGCTAACTGAACATCAAAGAATTCACACTGGTGAGAGACCTTATGAATGTAAGGTTTGTGGCAAGACTTTTAGGGTACAACGACATGTTAGTCAACATCAGAAAATTCATACTGGTGTCAAACCCTATAAATGTAATGAATGTGGGAAAGCCTTTAGTCATGGCTCATACCTTGTTCAACATCAGAAAATTCATACTGGTGATAAACCCTATGAATGTAAAGAATGTAGTAAGTCATTTAGTTTTCATGCAGAACTTGCTCGACATCATAGAATTCATACTGGTGAGAAACCCTATGAATGTAAAGAATGTGGAAAAGCCTTTCGTCTTCAAACAGAACTTACTCGGCATCATAGAACTCATACTGGTGAAAAACCCTATGAATGTAAAGAATGTGGGAAGGCCTTTATTTGTGGCTATCAACTTACTTTACATATGAGAACTCACACCGGTGAGATTCCTTATGAATGTAAGGAATGTGGGAAAACGTTCAGTAGTCGCTATCATCTTACTCAACACTACAGAATTCATACTGGTGAGAAACCCTACATATGTAATGAATGTGGAAAAGCCTTTCGTCTTCAGGCAGAACTTACCCGACATCACAGAATTCATACATGTCAGAAACCCTATAAATGTAAGGAATGTGGGAAGGCTTTTATTCATAGCAATCAATTTATTTCACACCAGCAAATTCACACCAGTGAGAGCACCTATGTATGTACAGAATGTGGGAAGATTTTTGGTCGTCGCTATAATCTTACTCAACATCATAAAATTCATACTGATGAGAAACCCTATATGTGTAATGAATGTGGGAAAGCCTTTCGATTTCAAACAGAACTTACTCAGCATCACAGAATTCATACTGGTGAAAAACCCTATAAATGTATGGAATGTGGGAAGGCCTTTATTCGTAGCACTCATCTCATGCAACATCACAGGATTCATACTGGCGAGAAACCCTACAAATGTAAGGAATGTGGGAAGACGTTTAGTCGTCACTATCATCTTACTCAACATCACAGAGGCCATACTGGTGAGAAGCCCTACATATGTAATGAATGTGGGAATGCTTTTATTTGCAGTTATCGACTTACATTACATCAAAGAATTCACACTGGTGAGATACCATATGAATGTAAGGAATGTGGAAAGACCTTTAGTCGCCGGTATCATCTTACTCAACATTTTAGACTTCATACTGGTGAGAAACCTTACAGCTGTAAAGAATGTGGGAATGCCTTTCGTCTTCAAGCAGAACTTACTCGACATCACATAGTTCACACGGGTGAGAAACCCTATAAATGTAAAGAATGTGGGAAGGCCTTCAGCATTAATTCTGAACTTACTCGACATCACAGAATTCATACTGGTGAAAAACCCTATAAATGTGAAGAATGTGGAAAAGCCTTTATTCGTAGTGATCAACTTGCTTTACATCAGAGAAATCATATGAGTGAGGAAGCCCTATGTGTAATGTAAAGAGAATGCGATGGCCTTTAGAAAATGCCCCTTACAACAGCAGAGAATTTATAAGAAATTTTCTGTTTGCTAGGGAACATGTGGGAATCTGTTTTACTTCATGTTCACAATTTATCAGAAATGGTTTAGTATGTTGATTTAAAGATTTGAAACGCTATGGCATCACTCAGTCCCTGTTAGACTTTAGAAGATTGTTACTGATGCACTGCATCCCAAACCATCAAGAACTTTTTCCTCTGCAAACTGTTCTTGAACGGTGCTTCTATAAAATGCCGTAATAATGGGCCAGGTGAAGTGGCTTACACCTGTAATCCCAGCACTTTGAAAGGACAGGAGTTTGAAACTAGCCTGGGCAACATAGTGAGACCCTTCCTCTACAAAAAAAAATTTTTTTTAATAGGTGTAGTGGCACACACCTGTCGTCCTTGCTACTCAGGAGGCTGAGACAGGAGGATCAGTTGAGCCAAGGACTTTGAGGCTTTAGTGAGCCATGATTGTGCCACTGCACTCCAGCTTGGTGACAGAGTGAGATCCTGTCTCTAAATAAATAAATGTGGGCTGGGCACAGTGGCTCATACCTGTAATCCCAGCACTTTGGGAGGCCCAGGTGGGCAGATGAGGTCAGGAGTTAAAGACCAGCCTGAACAACATGGTGAAACCCAGTCTCTACTAAAATAAATTAGCTGGGCATGGTGACGGGTGCCTATAATTGCAGCTATTGCAGAGGCTGAGGCAGGAGAATTGCTTGAACCTAGGTGGCAGAGGGTGCAGTGAGCCAAATAAATAAATAAATACATTGAAATAATATTAGATTGCCAGAAAAATGAAAAGAACAGACATACAAAATAAAAGCTCCAGTTTTTTATTATGGTATTTAACTGAGTTAACTCTGTCAGATTGCTGTGAACATTTCCAAATACTTGCTTCAATATGTATAACTTTTGCAGAAACCAGAAGCAAACAATTTGTGGACCAGTGCCAACACATGGACCACACTTTATATAGCATTGTAAAAGAAAATGACTCTGTTAATTTGATGAACATGGGAGAGACCAGCCTTGGCATATCTTTATGATATGTATAAATAATATAACTCTCGTAATTCCACCTCTGCCTATATGGTGTTTGGCAAAACATGTCCCTGTGCCTTGGTTTTTAAAATGGTGATAATAGTACCACCTAATAGTATTTTTGTGAAGATGAAATGCTAATAAAAGATAAAAACCTTTCAAAGAGTATTTGGCACACAGCATTCTATCAATAAATATTGATTTATTTTTTTCATCAGTGATACACTAGTACATTCATGTGAGAGGAAGGCCCTGTGGGTGTAAGGAATTTGTAAAAAATTACCTCTCACTACTTATTTAGATTGGGATTATTAACTGGGGATAAGATCCAGTGAAATAGATTAAACTTCCATTTCTAAAATCAGAACTCATCTCTGAAAACTAATGTGAGAAAGAAATCTCTAGATTTGATGGATGTGAAGAGTATGAGAGTAAAGGTTTTGAAGACTCGGGAATAGCTGTAATGCTTTTTCTTTTCTTTTTTTTTTTTTTTTTTGAGACGGAGTTTCGCTCTTGTTACTCAGGCTGGAGTGCAATGGCATGATCTCGGCTCACCGCAACCTCCGCCTCCTGGGTTCAAGCAATTCTCCTGCCTCAGCCTCCCGAGTAGCTGGGATTACAGGCACGTGCCACCATGCCCAGCTAATTTTTGTATTTTTAGTAGAGACAGGGTTTCACCGTGTTGACCAGGATGATCTCGATCTCTCGACCTCGTGATCCACCTGCCTTGGCCTCCCAAAGTGCCAGGATTACAGGCTTGAGCCACCAAGCCCGGCCCTGCTTTTTCTTTTCTTTTCTTTTTTTTTTTTTTTGAGACGGAGTTTCGCTCTTGTTACCCAGGCTGGAGTGCAATGGCGCGATATCGGCTCACCGCAACCTCCGCCTCCTGGGTTCAGGCAATTCTCCTGCCTCAGCCTCCTAAGTAGCTGGAATTACAGGCACGCACCACCATGCCCAGCTAATTTTTTGTATTTTTAGTAGAGACGGGGTTTCACCATGTTGACCAGAATGGTCTCGATCTCTTGACCTCGTGATCCACCCACCTGGGCCTCCCAAAGTGCTGGGATTACAGGCTTGAGCCACCGCGCCCGGCTGCTTTTTCTTTTTATAACCCAAAAAGCAAGTATGTTAGTCTGCGTTTTCTGCCCACGGTTAATGATAAATTAGAAACTAACAGCCACTATCCATTTGGAAGAATTAAAAGAATAATGAACACTGGTATTTTCTATCTAGATTAAACAATTGTTAATATGTTGTCATATTTGGTTTGCTTCTATGTAATATTTACATATTTTTGCTGTAGCATTTGAGTATAAATTGTAGATACTATAACACATAATATCTAAGAGTAAAGGCTGCTTCCAATTTAATTGCTATATAACAATTGTCCAACCTGTCTGTGGCCCAGAGCAGCTTTGAATGCAGTCCAACACAAATTTGTAAGCTTTCTGAAAACATGATTTTTTTTTTGCAATTTTTTTAGCTCATGAGCCATTGCTAGTGTATTTTATGTGTGGCCCAAGACAATCCTTCCATTTTAGCCCAGGGAAGCCAAAAGATTTTATGTTTTTCTCCTTAAATTTATTGATGTATTGATTTGTACTTATGACTTTCTTAAATTTTAAACATTTCTTGTGATATAGTGTGATTTTTGTCATACTGCTAGTCCATTTGGTGGTATTTTATTTAGAATTTTTCCATCTATAGTCATATGAGGCAGTGTTTTTTTAAAAAAATATATTTTATTGCATTTTAGGTTTTGGGGTACATGTGAAAAACATGCAAGATTTTTGCATAGGTACATACATGGCAGTGTAGTTTGCTGCCTTCCTCCCCATCACCTATTTCTGGAATTTCTCCCCATGTTATCCCTCCCCAACTCTCCACCCACCACTGTACCTCCCCTAGTTCCCCCTGACAGACCCCCGTGTGTGATGGTCCCCTCCCTGTATCCATGTGTTCTCATTGTCCAGCACCTGCCTATGAGTAAGAACATGTGGTGTTTGATTTTATGATCTTGTGTCCGTTTGCTGAGAATTATGATTTCCAGGTTCATCCATGTCCCTACAAAGGACACGAACTCATTATTTTTTATGGCTGCATAGTATTCCATGGTGTATATGTGCCACATTTTCCCTGTCCAATCTATCTTCGAAGGGCATTTGGGTTGGTTCCAAGTCTTTGCTATTGTAAACAGTGCTGCAATGAACATTTGTGTGAATGTGTCCTTATAATAGAATGATATATAATCCTTTGGATATATACCCAGTAATGGGATTGCTGGGTCAAATGAAATTTCTATTTCTAGGTCCTTGAGGAATCACCACACTGTCTTCCACAATGGTTGAACTAATTTACACTCCCACCAACAGTGTAAAAGTGTTCCTATTTCTCCACATCCTCTCCAGTGTCTGTTGTCTCCAGATTTTTTGATGATTGCCATTCTAACTCGTGTGAGATGGTATCTCAACGTAGTTTTGATTTGCATTTCTCTAATGACCAGTGATGATGAGCGTTTTTTCATATGTTTATTGGCCTCATGTATGTCCTTTTTTTTTTTTTTTTTTTTTTTTTGAGATGGAGTTTCGCTCTTATTACCCAGGCTGGAGTGCAATGGCACGATCTCGGCTCACTGCAACCTCCACCTCCTGGGTTCAAGCAATTCTCTTGCCTCAGCCTCCTGAGTAGGTGGGACTACAGGTGCATGCCACCATGCCCAGCTAATTTTTGTATTTTTAGTAGAGACAGGGTTTCAGAATGTTGGCCAGGATGGTCTCGATCTTTTGACCTCGTGATCCACCCACCTCGGCCTCCCAAAGTGCTGGAATTATAGGCGTGAGCCACCGCACTCGGCCATATGTCTTCTTTTGTAAAGTGTCTGTTCATATCCTTTGCCCACTTTTGAATGGGCTTGTTTGTTTTTTTCTCATAAATCTGTTTTACTTCTTTGTAGAGTCTGGATATTAGCCCTTTGTCAGGTGGGTAGATTGCAAAAAATTTTTCCCATGTGTTGGTTGCCAATTCACTCTAATGACTTTCTTTTGCTGTGGAGAAGCTGTGGAATTTGATTAGGTCCCATTTGTCTATTTTGGCCTTTGTTGCCAATGCTTTTGGTGTTTTAGTCATGAAGTCCTTGCCTGTGCCTATGTCCTGAATGGTTTTGCCTAGATTTTCTTCTAGGGTTTTTATGGTGTTAGGTCTTAAGTCTTTAATCCATCTGGAGTTAATTTTAGTGTAAGATGTCAGGGAAGGGTCCAGTTTCTGCTTTCTGCACATAGCTAGCCAGTTTTCCCAACACCACCATTTATTAAACAGGGAATCCTTTCCCCATTGCTTGTTTTCGTCAGGTTTGTCAAAGATCAGATGGTTGTAAATGTGTGGCATTGCCTCCAAGGCCTCTGTTTTGTTCCATTGGTCTATATCTCTGTTTGGTATCATCAGTACCATGCTGTTTTGATTACTGTAGCCTTGTAGTATAGTTCAAAGTCAGGTAATGTGATGCCTCCAGCTTTGTTCTTTTTGTGTAGAATTGGCTTGGCTATGCGGGCTCTCTTTTGGTTCCATATGAAGTTTAAGGTGGTTTTTTCCAGTTCTGTGAAGAAGGTCATTGGTAACCTGATGGGGATAGCGTTGAATCTGTAAATTGCTTTGGGCAGTATGGCCATTTTCATGATATTGATTCTTCCTATGCATGAGCATGGAATGTTTCTCCATCTGTTTGTGTCCTCTTTTATTTCGTTGAGCAGTGGTTTGTAGTTCTCCTTGAAAAGGTCCTTTACCTTCTTTGTTAGTTGTATTCCTAGGTATTTTATTCTCTTCATAGCATTTGTGCATAGGAGTTTGCTCTTGATTTGGCTCTCTTTTAGTCTGTTATTGGTGTATAGGAATGCTCGTGATTTCTGCACATTGATTTTGTATCCTGAGACTTTGCTGAAGTTGCTTCTCAGTTTCAGGAGATTTTGGACTGAGACGATGGGGTCTTCTAGATATACAATCATGTCTTCTGCAAATACAGGCAATTTGACTTCCTCCTTTCCTAATTGAATACCCTTTATTTCTTTTTCTTGCCTGATTGCTGTGGCTAGAACTCCCAATACTATATTGAATAGTAGTGGTGAGAGAGGGCATCCTTGTCTAGTGCCAGATTTCAAAGGGAATGCTTCCAGTTTTTGCCCATTCAGTATGATATTGGCTGTGGGTTTGTGGTAAATAGCTTTTATTATTTTGAGATACGTTCTGTCAATATCTAGTATAT